CTCTTATGAAAAACACAGCCATGCATGAAATGAGGCATGTTCGTCATGCCATGTATTTAATTTGATCTTGCTTTGTTGATACTGTGTGTACTCCTGCATTCCATACCAAAAAAAAAAAAAAAAAAAAAAACATTCTCCTGCAGAAGGCTTGCCTGGTAAACAGCCACCCTGTTCACAAAAGACTGTTGTTTTTACCTGGATTCAAGGGTGCATGTGCTTGGGAGTGATTCTTATTGGTCCTCTTCTGTTTTGGAAAGCCCGATGCTGCATGGATTCCGGTGTCTTTGTGGGTGGGTTTCAGGACTCAGTGGACTTTGTTTGCATTGAGTCCAGACTCTCCTGAACAATGAGTGATCAAGGAAAATTTAGTGAAACAATTTAATTAGGACAGGGCAGTGACGCTCCTGATTCGATGCTGGGTCTCAGCAGAAGTAATGTGCTATTGTTTCTTCAAAGATGCGTGCCGCCTTCATTTTGGATGGTTTTCTTTGTCTCACCTTTTGTAGTTTTCATGAAGCTTTTTTAATACAGGAAATGTTACCATAGCTCATTCTGCCAAAATATTTGTGGGTATGTATTCAGCTGTACCTGGAGGAGAAATTTTTGACTCCTGGCTTTGTTTAAGAGAGACGCTGTTTTTGGAGTTGACGTGTCATCTCATGGGAAGGTGGGGTCCTTGCCACTTACTTTGATGACAGTATTTTTTATTTCTATTAATGGTTACCTGGATTATTTTCCAAATTGAACAATAATCTTAAATTCTTTAATAAAGGTGGTGCATTCTGAAGGAAAAATATTTTAAGCCCGAAAAGCAGAGGTTCAAAAATACAAACAAATGCAACGTGAGTTGGTGCTTCTCAGTGTACCTCCTATTTTATGCCCCCAGGACCCCTGCTTCCGTTCAGTCTTCAAACTTCAAAATTAATGTCCTCCCCCTATCAGACTGTGGAGTCCACAGAAACTTGGGCACTGACTCACCAGTCACAGGGCTGGCGGGCTGCCACCATGCGTCTGCTCTCAGTGGAGAGTCCTCCTGGCTCCCGAAAGCCTTCAGGAATTATTTACAAGCTCCTGAAAAGCCAAGCATTGCCACTTACATATTTTGTGAAGATAACTGCTCTGATCTAGAGCTGTATCCTGGTTGAAGGGAGTCAGTTTATTCTTGGGCAGAGGAAGACTTGAGATCGATCACTCACTATGCCTCACCACTGCACTCCCTTTTCTGTCCTGGGGGTAAAAAAAATCAGCCAGAGTCTTGAAAACTCAGATGATAGTGTTAAGGGGGAAAACCAAGGAATATTATCAAAGTCTGCCATGGGCTGTCATGGAGTAAGGTGCATAATAAGAAAGTTTGGTGGCTGTTGGTGGCCATACAGGGTCTCGATGACTTGAACTGGTTAGGTGGCTTCTYAGGCACTTTGGTTGGTGAAATGAACAGGAGAACAGTCTTTCCACTTTGTATTCCATCCCCTGGACACAAACCAGGCCTCGTTCCCCTGACAGACTGAGCACACCCCGAGTGAGAACACAGGTTCTGCTGGAACAGCTTTTCTTGTCCTCAAAGTCCAGGCTCCTCCACTGTGTCACTGCATCATTCTTTGCCTAACAGTGTCCCTCCGGTGATTGTGGGAAAACACCTTTTCTGCCTTTTGACACTTGGGCTCGGTCCCTTGTTTTGGGAAAGATCAATTGATGCAATTCTGTAATATCCTTTCTCCTCCTTTTTCAGTTTCCCAAAGTACTTCCTAAATTGTCTGGGTCTTGGAGAGTTTCAAAGAAATAAGCTACTGTAAGAGTAGATTCTGTTGTCCTTTCCTTTAGCCATAGCTGAAACGTTGGGTGAACATGGCCTTCCTTTTGTGAGTGGAGCCACTCTGTCATTGAACTAGGTGGGAAACAGGTCTCACCGAGGTCCGTTCCCAAGGCTGTGCCTTAAGGAATTTTTGTGTCTGAGGGACTTCTTAAAAATTTACATATAAATTATGTAATTCACAGACATGCCTATATCCTGAACTATATGACATCCCAAAGGACCTTTAAATCTGATCCAAAGGAGCATTTTAATAATAGGACTGTTATTAATGATTTTGCAGAGTAACCAAAATAGGCACATTTATCTTCAATTGCATCACATCTTAGTTATTTTTTTTCTTACTGAATTAAGGGGAATCCTTACATATTCCTAAGACAAGAAAATAAAAATAAATTTTTTGACACTTTATAGTTTTGTTCTTTCCCCTTCTTCTAATTCCATAACCCATTACTGATGAGAAAATGACATTTCTCACGCAGCAAAAAGTAGATCTAATAGTCTGAACATAAACATTTAATATTTTTTTTWWAAATTTATGCCTTTTCTGTCATACAATACTTCTTTTTCTCCTAGGGGCTTCTAATCACAGCAGACCAGATAATCAGTTTAAAACAGAAACTCGTCCTATGTAGAATGTGATGTGCCACAAAGCAGTAGGTTCAAGAGGTTCTGAAAAATAATTGTAAAAAGATGAGCAGTGGACTGTACAAGCTGTTGGACATGGGTCCTAGTGGCTTCKTGGCTGGCTACTGGCTATGATCTGAGATAGATCTGTCATTAGCAATTGATGAGTATTTTAGTGTGGACCCTCCTAAAGTTGTCTGGATTAGAAAAATATTTAAAAGCATAGTAGGTCCCTCATCTGAATGTAGTCGTTTTATTCTTTCATTATTTTATTCTGTAATTATGGGGACCTGCTATGAGCGAGGCTACGAGTTTAGCTTTATTGAGAGAAGATAGAAGGCACACTCCTATCCTGCAAGAAGCACTTAGCAGGAAAGACAGCTAAATAATTAATAACAGGGGGAGGAGGAGCAGACATAGGCACCTGGTTCGGTGATAGCAAGGTATGATGAGCAGACGTTTAGAAAGAGAATGGGAGCTGGGGCAGGGTGGTGCACACCTGTAATCCCAGCAGCTCAGAAGGCTGAGACAGGAGGATCTCGAGTTCAAAGCCAGCCTCAGCAAAAGCAAGGCAGTAAGCAACTCAGTGAGACCCTGTCTCTAAATAAAATACAAAATAGGGATGGGGATGTGGCTCAGTGGCCAAGTGCCCCTCAGTTCAGTCCCCAGTCCCACCCCCCACAATAAAAAGAGGGTGGGGGTGGGTACCAGAGAAGCCTTCAGGAGRAGCGAGATGGGATTTCTTACCATATGACACCACACCCACTTCTGTTAATGTTCAACAGAGGCTGGATCTGTCACACACTTTGGAGTGTCACCATGTCRTCTTATGTCAGATGTATAATAAATGCAAAGAACCATTTATTTTCTTCCCCTTACTGACTTTTCTCAGAATCCACATAAGATTGTTGTCTGGAGATGTTTTTATGTCTGATAGATTTACATGCCTGAGATTTGAAATTCTTAAAAAAAAAAAAAGGTACCAATAATTTAGAAATGCATCTTAGAGGAATAACAGAACATTTTCATGACTGCTGCCCTCCAGGTACTTTGATGATTACTTTTGGAACTGTTTGCTTTGCCAAGAATTAAGATTTTTCTCTTAGACGCCTGTAGACCCTTGAAAGTCAATTATTTCGATGAATGTGCTTATTAAATCCAAGCTGGACTTGGAGTGTAGCATTTTACCCCACCACCTCTGATTTTTGTATACATTTAGAAAATAATTCGTAGAAAGTTTTAGATAATTTCTTATCTATTGAGTTTGGGTATCTTTTAAATCTTGCCAAATTTGAGAGGGGGGGGTCCACATTAAGGGTCACTCATCTTCACTAGTTCTTACCACCAGTAAAATCTCTGCATGAGAAGAGTGTGTTTCCMCTTCCATGGGACTTGCAGTCAGGGAACCTTCCTAAATCTCTCCTGCTTCACCCTCTCCTCCTTCTCCACACTTAACTCTGGAGCTTTGCTTTCCCAGGTCCTCACTCCGCCCTGCTCGCCCAGCTGGATGAGTTAGCAGGATTCCTCCCAGCCTGCCCCCCAGCCACTGGCTTCAGTTGTCAGCAGCTCTCTGAGCCTCCTGACCTCTGCAGACAGCACCCTCCTGTAGTCCTCCTGTCTCTGACGGCTCCTTCCCAGGCCCCTCCTTTGCTGCTGCCTTCTAAGAGCTAGCTTTCACCAGCTTCCTGTCCACACCACCTGTTTTCCACTGGTTTCTCATCCACGGCCACACGGTACCCACCATTCTCCTCCTCTCACTCCTTGACAGCCAGGCCGGTCTGCCTCAGGGCCCTGGCTGGTCCTCTTCCTGGAATGTGCTTCCCCCAAAGCCCATGGCCTATTCCCACACTGCCTTCAGGATTTTATGGGAAATGGAGCCACGTCGGTCAGTGGGACATTCTGAGGTCATATCTATTGTTTTTATTTTATTTTTTTCATTCTCTACTTTCTGGAATATAAATTCCATGAGATCAGAGATTTTTTTTTGCCTTAACCCCCCAGAGCTTTGAAAAATACCTGATCCACAGGAAATGGCTCAGTCAGTGTTCATTGAACGAATGAAGGAAGGAACACATGATTTCTGACATCCAAGTGCTAGAGTACTCTTGTAGCAATCAAGGTCTCTGCCCTAGCCAAATGATTATTGGTGAGCTCCTCACCTGGAGGGCCTTAGTCTCCTGCGCTGTAGATGGAGGGCGAGTGCAGTTCAGTCCTAAGGCCCTCTGAAATGCTAACACTCTTATCAGTTCCAGAAATGAGGTAATGTCCTACAAAATGTTACTTATGGGACTTCTCACAACTCATTGCTACATTTTTCTTTTTATATAATTGCTATCTATAGTTAAACAAAAGGAGCAATTGAAATGAGCCAATGCTTACGTTCTAGATGAAATATGTGAAAGCTAATGCGTTTGGGTTTACTGACATCTGCTACCTGTTTTTTTTTAAATGAATTAGCCAATTTTTAATGGGATTTTTATTTTCTGTTCTAAATGCATTTAATAGTCTGCCTATTTTTGTCAAATAAAAAAAGAACATTTATCTTCTTTGCCTGTGTTTTTAGTTATTTCCTGCTAYAGAGAGCACTTGGAGAAAGGAAGTCTTCCTAGGACCTCTGCCTACCGCCCATGAAATACTCATTTCTGTTTTAGGTAAGTGTATTGCTTTGCTTTGATACATACTGAGCAGAAGGTATTGATTTCTTTCTGAAAACTCATGTCATTATTATATTAAGACAAAGACTCTGAGGTTTCAGATATTTTTCTATCTGGAAAAAAATAAAGATACCAAAACAAAACATACATACAGGAATCCCAAACTTTGAGGTCCCTGCCAGTAACAAAATACTATGATGGATTTGCTTTTCCAAGGCTTTCTGTATATCTGTTAGTAGTTACAGTTTGTTCAATGCATTGTAGTATGTAGTATGCAATCCCCTTTTATGCGCGTGGATTTAAAGACACCTTTAAAAATGAACATGCTTACACCTAARTAGGTGCACTGTCTGTGGTGAGGGAATAAGATGGTGGGGTGCAGTCAGCAGCAGCAGCACTGTGAATTAGTAGGGGGAGAGGTGGAATGGGGAGGGCAGAACCTAGATACCAACCCAGTGGATGAGATAGACAGGGCAGGACAGGTGTACTGGGCTGGCCAGGCAGGGAGACCTGGAAATGGATAAGGTACTTTTCCCCATGGCCACCCATTCCTAGAATTCCTTTTTGGTCTCTAATCAATCAAGACACACCAGAAATATCCTCTCCAGGTCTCTTTCTATGGCCAGGCCCCCCCTTTTTTTTATAGAGAAGCTGAAGAGGTGGATGAACAGTGTGGTCAAGGCACAGGTGGTTTCCCCCTCTTATGGAGGGATCAAGAGCTCAGTACCATCACATGAGGAGGTTGGGAAAGCTTAGGAAAATGGGAGCCAGCTCCTCCATGAGTGAGAAGTGGTAAAGAGCAATTCTCATGAGAAGAGTCTCAACCTGGATGACCACACTTGATGGACAGCCTTCCTCTGGCCGCCTTTCCAGCATCCATGAGCATCTGTGTGTAATGCACCCTTGCTTACAGTAGGCCATGCATTTTCTAATTTATTTTTATTGTGTTTTGCAGAATATGGCTTAGGTAGATGTTATTACTTTCCAGGAACTTCAGAATCTGGCAGAACTTAGGCTGCCGAATAAAAATCGCCCTATGCCAGGTGGAATTCTGCAGTCTGTGGAAAGGGAAGAATTAAAAAAAAAAAAAAAAAGCCAACAACACACCTCAGTACTATTCCTTAAAATCCATCACTCTTAACACCACCTTCCTTATCTCCTTATCCCAGACCTGGGTTCTGTTGTGAACACCCAGGGCTCCTATTGGTTGGGAGGAACTGTGTCTTCTATCTGTAGTCCTGGTAGAGCTGAAGTTATTGACTTGCACCTGAGCACAGGTGGATTTAATGGAGAGTACTTTCCAACAGGGCCTGAATTCTCACTCTGTATCACTCTAGGGATCCCACCCATCTCAGTAGGTACACAAAGGAGGGGTTTCTTATGACACAGGCCTACTAGTGCTAACCCTGGAAATTGGAGCAAACTAGGACTTGTGGCGTCCTTTTCGTGATTCCGTCACTCCCCCTTGTTTGGACATGACTGCATGGTGTACCTGCTCACCAGGGGGCTTCTGACAGCAGCTGAATTTGCAACCCTGGTGACCAGGAAAGAAGCTGAGTAGATCTGGAGGTAACCTCATCTCTGCCACTCACTAACCTTGCAGATGGATGGGACCTGGTTGCTGTGGTTTTGAAAGCCATTGTTTTCCATATACCAAATGAGAATACCAGCAAGCCTGTAGRGATGTTGGGAAGGTGTTTAGATATCGCCTGGTTCAGCATAGACCCAGRAGGAATGGAGTCCTATCCCCTCTCACTGTCTAGAGATGACAGTTACCTTTACGGGCTTCAGTAACCTTTGAGTTTTATTCATATTATTATTTAGCTAGATCCTGTGACAGGAAGGAATGTGACCCATGAGTGCAATGTCTGTACTGTAGACACTAAATCTTAGCCCTTCTAAGTCTCACATAATGTGAGATCAGAGTGTTGATAACAGAGTATTCTTGTACATGATATGGAAACAGGTTTTCAAGTGTTCTATGGAATATTGTGAAAAGCATAGTTTTTCTCTCACCATATCCCGTTGTTTGTAATCTTTCAGGTTATTACTGAATTTAAATTTCATTAAAACTTTTGTTCTTTTTTKAGTTCCTAAATTACAGATAAGCAGCCTTATGTATGCATATGTATCAATAGCATCATTAGCATTTTTTACTACTCTCAATAGTGCATTTAAGATCATGTTGCTTTTAGAGTACAAGCTGGGTCTTTTTTTTAAATAAAAAAGTGGTCCCTTGTTTAAGGAAACTAAAAAGGAAAATGGAGACATGAAATAAAACGATCTTGTAGTGTTCCTTTTGTGAAATTCTTTTGAGTGTAATCATCTTAAAACATGACACCTCCTGAGCATGTGTCATTTTTAAATTAGAATATAAACAGAAAAATCTATGCTTCATTCACGTCATTGCCATTTCAGGAAATCAGCTCGAGGGTTCCCTTTGTTTGTAGTTTCTTATTATCTCAATCAGACTTAACTAATAAGTTGGTTTCTCCCCTTAAAAGGAAACTTTTTCAAAATGTCTCTAAGGACAGGTTTTTGCTCTTCCAGGGTGCTAGAGRCCTGAAAAATTGCTGGGAGCCAAAACAATCCTTGCACTTTTTTTTTCTTTTTCATCTTAAATGGTCCTAACCAAAAATACGCTCTAGTTTTCCCCAAAATATCTTTTTTGTTTTTTCCAGTTCCATGTTTTCATCTTCCTTTTCCACAAGCACCTCTGGCTTTTGCCTCTTCCCAGGTGAGCCCTTCGCCAGGAGAATGACTCAGAGCTCAGGTTTCCCTGTACAGTCAGGTGGGGCTTCTCTGGGGCTGACTCAGCTGACCTTGAAGGAGGTCTGCTGAGGAACAAGGGAAAGTTGGAATGGTAAGGAAACCTGCCTGCAGTGCCGCTCACCCAGCCAGGCCTGCTCACTGGGCTTCAACAAGACRGGGAGACAAAAGCGTACACTGGGAAAAGTAGCTAGGACTTTAGAATTTTCATTGTCCTTGATCACAGAAATTATCTAGGCTTCTGTAACACTAGTCGAGGGATGGTGCCCTCTCTAAAAGAAAATGCTCCTCTTCTCAGAAAGAAAGCATAATTCCAAATTTGAGGCTTTAACACACATTTATTAAGTTTAAGAACTATTGATTACAGTTTTATCTTGTCATGTTACCAAAGAAGTTTTTGACATATGAGGATATTTTCATTTCATCAAGTGAAAGACAGATTGTATGCTACTATGTGTACCTAATTGTTGTTTTTAATTATGAATGGCTATTACCATGTGGCCATAGTAGTCACTGATTTTCTTACAAAGATTGACAGAAAGGATCSTCTGCAGCTGAGCCCCGGGTCTGTGGAGGACAGCTCTGTGAGCACTGTGCTAGAGGCAGCAGATGCCTCCTGGGCAGTCTGCTTGCCCTACAGAAAAGGTATTAGAACCTTCATTGTGTAGGGGAGGTATATGGGACAATTAGTCAGCTTTCCATCACTATAACAGGTTGCCTGAGATAATTTGATTATAGAGAAAACGTTTATTTTGGCTCATAGTTTTAGAGGATCTAGTCCATGATTGGGTAGACCCATTGTTTCAGACCTCTGATGAGGGAGTGTATGGTACAGAATATTTCTTACCTTGTGGCTAAGAAGCCAAAGAGAAGAGGAAGGAGCTGGGTTCTTGCAGTCCTCTTAAAGGGCACAACCTGAAGATCTATAGATATCTCACTAGGCCCCACCTCCAAAAGGTCCAGTCACCTCCCAGAAGCAGCACCCAAGGGACTGAGCCTTTGACACATAGATCTTTGGGGGACATTCAACATCYAAACYATAGCAGGGATCAAAGAGGATAAGCCTYAAACCAAAGGGTAACCATAGGATTAAACAAAAATCCTCCCAYAGCTCTTCCATCAAAGAGACCTGCACACCAGTTGATTTCCTTACAGTGTGGATCCTAGATTCAGGGTGAAGGTTGACTGTGGGAAGCTGGGCAGCAGAGCAGGTAGAATCAGAAGGTTACCAGGAAACAGGGTAGGAGGGTGTTAGAAAAGTTGAAGTCTCCATTACTAAGGAAGGAGACCAAACGGTCAAGAAATGAGGGAAGGAGAACACAGGTCAGAGAGAGGAGGACAGGTATGGTGGTTGTGGTTGGGCCAAGAGGGAAACTAGAACTTGAAGGGCTTCCCTTCTTCTTTCCAACCCATACACGTCTGCTGCCCTCTCCGGGGGTGGACTGAGGGAGTGTTTCTGTGTCCCTGTAAGTTCAGAGAGGCGTGTTGCTCCTGGGACTGCATGACCAGTGAGTGTTGTAGGCTCCTTTCTATGCTGACCTCTCTCTTCCAGAGCATATGAAGTATATGAAGTGTTCAGTTCTGTTAGATTTTAATGAATCTGGATCTAAAGATGCAGCAGCAGTGAAAATACCCCTACTCTGCATTTCTTTTCTCCTCTTCAGCAAGGGAGGAGGAGAAAGGCCTGGTCTCTTGGTAGTTGCATGTGCTCACTCCAAGTTTCATACAGTACAGGTTTATCTTTGTCCTGAATACTTATCTCTTCAGTCCCTTAGGTCTAACTCTTTATAGGACATGGTTAAAACCAATCCCTTTATCCTCCTTGGTCAGAGAGCCTGGAGTTAGTGGGAGAATCTTCCTCTGGAAGGCAGTCTCACTGAGTGACTCTTCTTCGTATGGCTGTCTATTCTGGAAGCAGACCCAGCTGACCCTCCCTCTGAGCCATCCTGCATTGGGGTAACCACCTCTTCCTCTCTGACCAACCCCATCACTGACTTAGCCCTATGCCAGGCTTCTGCCTTGTGTTTTGCTYTGAATCCATCCAAAGACGGTGTCTTAGCTTATGAGAGCTTATGGACTGCTTCCATCCAGGTATCCTTTATCAGTTTCTTTTTTCGTCAAGTCCAAAAGTTCCTTTGAGGCACATCTCAAAAGTTACTCCTTCTGGTTAAAAAAAAAAAAATTGTAGCACAATACAAGAATTTTTATCATTAACCTTTTCATTCAGC